TTTTTAACATAATAAATGCATAAAAATTATTAAAGTGTTAAAAGTGTTAATCACTATGATGTATTATGAAATATTATTGAAATAAAACTTCTTTGTAGAATATTATGCTTTAATATTCAGATATAATTTTAAAAAAGCAGTACAAATAAGAATTTTAAGCAAAAACTTTCAAAAATCCCTTTTTTCAATTTTAGTATTTTTTACTTATTTACACCAATAAAAGCATAAAAATTGTAAGAGAAAATTGTTCGTTTGAATTTTTCTATTAGTTCAGATTTAAAATATTATTTTTTTAAAGAAGGAGATACAAATTTCCTTACAGCATAGGAAAAGCTACAAAAATATCCAGACCTGAAAGCATGCAACAGCTTTATAATTATTTAGAACATCAATTATGCTTGATAAACATGCTAAATTTTTAAAAATCAATCTCAGTTTCAAAAATAAAAATATCTAAAAATTCTAATTTGTGAAATGAGGTGCTATCACCAGCTTTTTCTTGAAAATTATATGCGCTGCATACTCCTCCGGATGTGAGCAAGGTGACAGCCGGCAATACGCCAAGGCAAGGGAGAAAACCCATTTGGGTTGGTCTATTTCTTATAAGGCCCATGGAAACATATCAAACAATGCTAAATTAACACAATAAATTAAAATTATATATGAGATCTTTAAGAATTAAAAAATGAATTTTACTGATAGTGAAAAAATAACTTAAATATTGAACTTATGGAGAAGTCGAGAAATTTTGTAATTGATAGTATGTTTGAATAATTATTGGGTACGTGTCAGCTAAACGTTACTGTCAGCTTTGTGTCCTGTGGACTAAATGTGTTGACAGTTAAGTGTCCTGTAGCTAAATGTCTTGACGGCTAACTCTCTGTGTCTGCAAAATGTCCTGTCGGCTAACTGTCCATGTCGGCTAAATGTCCTGTCGGCTAAATATCTTGTCGGCTAACTGTCCGTGTCGGCTAAATGACCTGTCGGTTAAGTGTCCGTGTCAGCTAAATGTCCTGTCGGCTAACTGGTGTCAGTTAAGTGTCCTGTCGGCTAAGTGTCCGCGACCAGGCAACAGGCATCTGTCAATGGTTTGAGGTATACAAACTGTCTAGTATTTTTCAAATTTTGAGTGCTCTTTTTTGTATTAAGTTAGGTTATTTAAATACACCAAAGCACACGCGGGCTGGCTAATGGGAGGGATGCCTTCATAGAGGACTTTCTGAGGAAAACAGGCTTGTATTCACATTACAAAAGGGAGAATTCATGAATTTCTGAGGAAAACAGGCTTGTATTCACATTACAAAAGGAAGAATCATGCAGACACTCTTCACTTGGAATCAAAGGTCGAAATTCCAGCATTCAGTGATCTTAACCACACAGCTACTAGTGGGAACAGGTAGCCTTTTTAGAGGTAGTTTTTAGGAAAGTTTCATTGTATTTGTATTCATTCATTGCGTTTGTATTGTATTCATTCATTATCCCTGTATCGCTCGTGGCAAAGGAATCGCCTTATCAAGTCAGTCAAGGGGCTCGCCTAGGTAGCATAAAATTTTGGCCAAAACTTAAGTTATCACTATGTCATGTTATAAGGTATTTCTCCCACCTTCTTGGCATCTTCATACTTCTTGGCAAGCCTTTGTGGTGTCGAGGTCTGCACGCTCAGCGTGTAATTGAGAGGTCCACGGTTTGATTCCCGACGAAGGCATTGCTAATTTTTCATCTTTCCTGCTTCCAAAAAATACCTAATGTCTCTACAACGTAAGCACCAAAGACATGGAGAAAGCATGTAAAGAACCCTTTTAATAGTCGGCATCAACTCATGAATACAGAAGTTAATAGCTTTGGCTTTAAATCAAACATAATGGATGAACTAAAACTAATAAAATTAAGTGCAGCCTAACGGCTTCAAAGTACACTGCCCTCTAAAAATTAAGGAACAACATGTGTTTTTGTGTCTGATTTGAGAATGAAGCAACATAGAAACCAGAAATTTAGAGCAGTGTTTCTCAACTGGATTTACTCCAAGTACCTGTAAAATATTTCGGTACATTCTTGCAGACCGGTAAGTTTAATAATTTGACCCATTGGCACAATTTTTTCACATAAATAAATCATGAAGACAAAAATAACTGTCAAATATTTCTTGCGGTGGTTGAGAAACACTGATTTAGAGGACATGTTCACTAAACAGTTCTTTAAAGAATGTGAAATAAAATGTTTCTAAAGTTCAACACAAACATGAATTACAACAAAAAAATTGCGCTCTTGACAGAGAAATCTAGTCTTGGAGAAACAGTTTTTTGAGGAAAAATGGGGTGGTAACATTATAAAAATGGGTTCTAATAAGGAATGTGTCCACCCCTAGCTGCAATACATTGGCGGCAGTGACGTTCCATGCTGTCAATTAAGTTGTCGGTCAGTGAAATGGGAAGCAATGAGCAGACACGGAGTAATCCTTGTTCAAGTTCAAGCTCATCTAATGACCTTGGTGGGGGACTTTCAGCAGCAACCTGCCAAGGTAGCTCCAAAGATACTGTATTGGATTCAGGTATGGGGATTGACCTGGCCCTCTTCATACTGTGACTATCAAGATATTCTTCAGTAACCCAAGCTCGGTGCCGTCGCGCGTTGTCGCTCATCACAAGAAATTCGAGACCAAAAGCAGCGGCATATGGGCGGACATGATCAAAGATCTCACCTCGATATCTCACATCAGTCAAAGTTCCTCCGCGGAACACACGATGGTCAGTGTGACCACCGATAGAGATCCCAGCTCAAACCATTATTCCACGACCTCTGTAACTATGTCTTTCCACAATGTGGGATTGGTTGTATCTGGTGCGTTATTCCCTCCAAATCAGCCAACGACGTTAATAACTCTCTAATGTGAACCTGGACCCGTCTGTGAAGAGAACAGACGCCCATTGTTTTCTGGTCAGGGGAGACGTGTTCTATTGCCCAACATAAATGAGCACCTCTGTGTCCTCAGATCAAGAGGACACAAAAAGTTGGTCGTCTTGCATATAGACCTGTATTGTGCAGGTGTCTGCGCACTGTAATAGCTGAGATTCTAGTTTCTGTTGCCTCTAAATGATCTGCCATGAGCTGAGGCACAGTAATGTTACTCCTCCTTTGGGCCGAAAGAGCCAAATAACAGAATCCTGGGATTCAAACTGATTCTACAGTCGGTGCACCCCACTACGAGAGACATCTAGCAGCATCAGCTTGTGACAACCCCATTTTCATCCATCCAATTGCCCGCCGCTTCAATGAATTGGGCAAATGACTTCTCCTGAACATTAATAAGACTCTCTTTATTGTCAATGAAATTGCTAACAAGTGAAGATCAACACTTGTGAACAAAACTTAAAACGTTTTGCATTTTTCTCCAACTCTTATGTAAGTATTCATTTCTATATAATAAAAGTGGTAGTTATTGTTTTTGAGTATATTTTCTTAAATTTCGTTCCTATCATGCATATAAACTGCGGATTTAAATGTTACTGACATTTTTGTAATGGTCAGCTTTGGAAAACATGCTGTTGCTTAAATTTTGGAGGGCTGTGTATAACTCCAACTCTTATGTAAGTATTCATTTCTATACAATAAAAGTGGTAGTTCAATACACTTTACAATAAAGTATAAAGTTTCATTCTTCTAAAATTAAGAAACTTCTTGGGTGCTGGAATCAAAATATTGCAATGGCATGCAACTACCTGCTTTCTGGTTTCAAACCAAAGTTGCCACCTTTCTAGTTTTAACCAAAAGACTCAAATTTTTAGTTTTTAACCCAAATCTTCAGGTTGAATAGTAATTTTTATCTCCTGCCACCCTATGTACATGGGTAATGTAGGTAATGTTTTCAGTCCAAAAAATTTATACTGAATAAGCACGAATTATGGTGGCCATAACACGTTTTTACAATTTAAAAAAATGTTATTCGAGTGCTACAATTTTTTCTTCCATGATAACTCTTATATATTAGACTTATTCACTAGTTTTACCTCCTTCCAACTTAGGTAAGGGTTTCGTTTATTTGATTATGGCAAAGCATGCTACAGCAATCTGTCTAAGGGGAGAAATACTTTCGTGGAAGACATTCTGAGGGAAATTGGCTTGTATCCACACTATGCACGGAAAAAGCCATGAAAATGCTCATGCTCCTGAAATTGAATCCAAGTCAAACTACTAGTGATGAGCAATTTAACTGTTTGGTGGGCACACAGGTAAGGTAGGTAATGTTGTCAAAAAATTTGATAGTAAAGTTTTTAGTGAATAAGCATACATTAGGGTCCCCACAACACATTTTTACAATGAATGTCTATGTGTAATGGAGGACGATATTTTGTCAATTGTAATTCTTGCAGCATCCATGCAGCCACTCAACACTTGGCAATTTGAAAGACTCTGGAATCTTGAATCTAGTGCATAGGAGCTCTATGCTAGTGGTGGGAATTCTGTTCTAATAAAACAAACCCAGGCTCTACTCTTTAAGGTCCACATGGTCTCTAGCACCATGCTTCTGATTTCGGCCCATAGATGTCGGCATGAGCAATGCCTCTGCTTAAAACACAGTAAGTGTCACATTCTCCAAGCCATAAATCAACTACAGCAGTTCCTGAGGTAGTGACATGGGAGCAGAATTCTCCACCACTAGTGCAAAAGAGCTTTCGGACTTCGTATTGTATTTACTATTTATATAAATTAATAAAATTATTTAATATGAAAGACATTAATAATTTATTTTTATTGTAGATTAAATATTTCTTTTTATTAAATACTGTTTTTTCAGAAACAATGTCTCTGCACTCTTTAAAAAATTAAAAGAGTGAGAATTTTATATTTGATTATCTCCAAGATAACATTCAGTGAGATGTGACATCACAGAAAAACAATGTGCGAGTTCATTCACTACAATCAATCAATAAAAATTAGATGATAAAATTTTGTTCATATCTCAGTGTCCCTTACATGAGAAAAGAAAAATCATAGAACATGAATAATTTCCATTTCAAATTTTTTATTGTGCTTTATTTATACAAATAACAGTAATTCGTTTTCCACACTTATGCACTTTATGTCGTAAGATAATGTAGTTAGCAATTTAAAAGTTCTCATCAAAGTTTTTACTCTATTGATCCTTACAAAAAAGAAAATTTATTTTTAAATGTTGTCTATGACAAACCTTCTCTTAGGAAGGTATGAAATGCAAGATCTGCTTTTATATATAACTAACAATGAATATTAACACTGAGAACAAATATAGAATCATCTTCCACCATGTTACATTAAATCTCACACATTTAAAAGATAAATTATGTAGGGAATTATATTCAGAATATTTACAGGTACGAATTTTAAAATAGTCAATTAATGATAGTGGGATAAGTCAATTAACATGCAAATAATTCACAATACACTGTTACAGTAACAAAAGATATTTCTTAAAATGTTATTATTTTTCACATAAGCTAACTTCTGAAATGAAAATGTAAAAAACATCACAACATTCCAAATTTATTTGCGCTTTGACAATACAAACACATTACAGGCAAAAATACTGGCATCTCTCATTCACAGATCTACGAATTCCACTTTTTATATTCTACACCATCAGGAGGCTTAACTTCCACTTTTTTATTACCGACTTCATTCCAGCTGGTGCTAAGAACTGTACCACCGGATTCAAACTGGGAAGGAGAAAAAAAAAAAATAATATTATCATTTAATACACATATACACATTTTATTTTTTAAAAAGCAATTGAAAGAGAAACTATACCTAACTTCTCATCTTAATGCATGTAACACTAAACTTCTATACATGAACTGTTTTTTCAATGTGTTTAAAGTGTAATAAAAACCATCGAGGGATATAGTAACTTCTCTTGATATGGAAAGGAAGTCCATTCTTTTGGACATCTTGTATAGTTCAATATAATCTGGTAACGTAATATATCTTCTGATCATGTAATGAAAGTAAATACATATATGCTTTTTGCATTTATTTATGTGCTGTGTTGCCTTTTGGGTGGCTTAGTATGGTAATATTATCAGTTTCTTTAATTTTGATCAAGGTTCACAAGCAGAGGGTTACCTATTACGAGAATATTCATAATTTTATGCTCCTATCTTGAATATTTGAAAATTAAATCTTCGTATTGTAACTGTTTCACTTTAAACAGTTTCAGGTATTAAATTGTAATTTGAATACAATTATACAGATTTTTTGGGAGGGGGGAGCAAGCTCTTTTCTGAAGGGTTAGATTGTTAGAATTTCTCATTAAATGAGAAAACCTCAATAATTATAAGTCTTTTAGCTATAATTTTCTTTAAAGTTCTTGAAACCATTTTCATATGCCTTTTTCTCATCTTTTACAATACAAAATCTTAATTAATTTTTAAAGGATCAAGAACTTAGAGAAGATACCAATAACCACCAGTTCCATCATTAAATATGAATAAACTTCAGGAGTTATAATATTTAACAACCAAAAGGCATTAAACATAGTTCTAAATACAAAATTCTACATAGTGCAATCCACAGCATTTTTAAGGCTGAATTTTTCAATGAATTCCAATTATGCTTCAAAATGATAACTACTGGCAATGTTTACCACAAATCTTGATTTACTTCCATTAAAATAATATTTGTTTTTGGAAAATAATTTGAATTACATTTTACACAGCTGATACTCATTTTTATAAATTTAAAAACTGAACAGAGAAAAGCAACAAAGTTATTGCTGCATAATGAAACTTTGCAATGTTTCCAAACAGAAAGGGCAATTTCAATCAATTTCAATTCAACTATTCAATTAGTATAGTTATCTGCAAAATAAAATTCTACATTTAAATGAATGTAACTGCCCTTGAAGAGTTAAAAAGTCGTTTGATACCAATGAATAACTTATAAAAACATGTAGTTCTCAAACAGGAGTTTCATTAATGAATGAAATGAAAGTTGGTTATATTATCATTTATAAAGATAATATGTTTTTTAATTACTTTTATTACATTTTTATTGCAAACAAAAGTGTCACTGTGCATTTGTAGATTTTAGTCTGAAGTCACACTTTAAAGTCGACCATTTAAAGATAAAATTAAGAAAATTAATGACAAAACCAAAGAGGATTCTAACAGCTAACCTCTATAAAGCAGCCCAGAACCTAAATATGCCAACACATTAATAGCACTAGAAGTAATGTATATAGAAGGCTAAACTACAAAATAAGTTATTTTATTCATATGTTGATGTTTTTATTAAAGTCCTACAATTAATGCACACACTTTGAATATTAATGCTAAAAACATTTAACACTGCTATCTTTGGTATTCAGTTTGTCATAAAATAACATAAAATTAGAAAACTTAATCCTTATATGCCAATAAGACAAGAGTATAGACCTGCTTGTAAAACAGTCAACTACAGTAGACTATTTTACAAACTTGTATTGGGCTCGAAAACTGCAAGATCAAAAGTTTCCAAACAGAAAGGGCATTAACTATTCAATTAGTATAGTTATCTGCAAAATAAAATTCTACATTTAAATGAATGTAACTGCCCCTGAAGAGTTAAAAAGTCATTTGATACCAATGAATAACTTATAAAAACACGTAGTTCTCAAACAGGAGTTTCATTAATGAATGAAATGAAAGTTGGTTATATTATCATTTATAAAGATAATAGGTTTTTAAATTACTTTTATTACATTTTTAAGGACCTCAAAATTGTTCAAGCTGTTTAAGGACCTTAAATTTATCCCATCTGTAGTTTGAAATCCTCATATGTTTAAATTCAAATAATTTTCGAGAAAATGTTTTATTTTAAAATATGCTTTTATACAATTATAATTTTGCACATTAATAACATTACTGATATGCAGTGTGATTTTCAGTTACTTTAGATTTTGAAATATGTAAATACATACACATTATGAACTGAAATTTTAACACATATAGCATTTTCCTGCTTTTCTTAATTGTTCTAGTGACATATTCTGATTTATAAATTAGAACTCTTATTTAACTTGCAGGCAGCTCTTTTGACACATTTCATACCACCCTTCTTTAAGTCCCCCTTCTTCTTAAAAGGCACAATACATGTCAGTATTTTCGGCATGCAACTTAGGGTTTCTGTTACAAAAAAGCACCTATCTTTGATAAGCTAAATTTAAACACTTTAGCAGAGGAATTCTCCAAGATAATTCTCTTTAGGCAAAAGCTTAAATGCTAGACATATTTTATATCTTTAAAAAGGTATATTTTTTTCCTGCTTCTTAAAAAGCACAAATTAATTGCCAAAACATGGCAAAGTGTTCAGCATGTGACTTAGGGTCCCTGTTACAAAAAAGCACCTTCTTTGATAAGCTACATGTTCTAATTTAATGGGCTACAATTTCACTAAACATTTTTGTAGAAAAATCCTCCAAGATCAGAGATTCTAAAATAACAACAAAATTTTGGTGGGAAGACTTTAATAAAGTGTTACTCCTTATGCAACACAGAAATAAAGATTTGGACAAACAACACATTTCCCACTCATGCTTAAGAAAATAAGAAATGGATAAATTAAAATAAAATCACAAATGGCAATGAAGCATTTATGCCTACGGCAGTTAAAAGAAACTCAGCAACTTAAAAGCTAGCCTATTTATATATAATTTTGAAGTTTCTCTACCTTATAAAAAGATTTTTTTGACACAATTTCAGAAGCGTTCCTTTTCTCTAACAAATACACTCTGTGACAAAACAATATATGCACCCAGAAAAAATCAAGCCACAATCACGAAACTGGGCAGGAATGTAGTCAGGTAAGAGATTGATGATGATTTAAGATTTCGAATGATTTAAATTTTAATGCCAATAAGACAAGAGTAAGCGTGCTATGTGCATATGGGATTCATAGCTGGGAGAGTTTAAAAGTACGATTGCTTGTGCCACAGGGATATTCAAATGAATCTGTCGACTTGCATGGATGGTACCGAGATTACAGATCTTCTGATATAAGCAGAAGCAGTACGGACGGTTGTCGGACTAAGAAATGGCATATAGTAGGCCTCAGAGAAGCAGGTTGGTCAAACAGGCATTAGCTGCTACCTCGGTTGAAGCCATATGGTAGTTGCTTGGTGTGGGTGACACTGAATCACAGAAGGGATAGTCTATTGTAATGGAGGGTCCCCAAAACACAAATGAGCATGACAATCATGCAATCATAAGAGCAGCCATTTTCGCACTAATAACGTCACTAGCATCAATTTGACGCCATTTACCACCTTCCAAGCATCCAGTGGTATAAAGGAAAACCATTTGGAGATGATTCGCTGATGCTAGTCAGTATATGCTGCCTTTTTCAGTAGACACAATATCCATTACGATGTCTACCCACATCACAGGCAGTGTAAATTGGATTTTTGCCGAACTCAGGCAAGCTGTGACCAAATGGAGGCATATCATCTTCAGCCATTGAATCCCAATTCAGTCTCAGTGCTGATGACCAATGCACACGTGTGTGGAGGCAGCCAGGCCAGTGGTCTGATCCAGCATTTGCTGTTGAGCAGCATACAGAGATCATACAGTGGGGAGCAATTTGGTGGGACACATGATCACTTGGTAGTCATCAAGGCACCATGACGGCTTGCAGTTACAACATTTTAATGCCAGTTGTACTGTCTTTGCTATCAAGTCGCCAATTGCCATTTATTAGCAAGACAACGCTCGTCCACATACTGCATGACTCTTCCAACAGTGTCTTTAAGGATATGATGTATCATGGCCTGCCAGGTCACCAGACATGTTGCCAACAGAGCACATTTGGGACATACTTGGGAGGCAAATGAAGCCGTCCCAGAATACTAGTGAATTAACTGCTCAGTTGCCAAGATTATGGCATGATCTTCTACAGGAGGTCATAGGTGACTTACTTGATTTGATGCCACGCTTTGTTTCGGCTTGTACAGCTGCCAGACGTAGCTACCTATTGATTTGTAACCTTTTTTATACAATAATTTCCTAATAAAAGGATCTTTTGTTCTGAATTTGTAATCATTTGTTTATGCCTTCATACACTATATAAATGTTAAGTTTCGTGATAGTAGTTCGTTTGATTCTGGATACATATATTTTTTTTATGACAGAGTGTATATTAAATCTTAATAAAGTGTAGTTCAATATGCTACAAAAACTAAATATTTTTATCTAAAATTAAAAAAAAAAAAAAAAAAAATAAAGTACTATGATCAGTGTCTTTTTTTTAAAAATTAAATACTGTACTTTCAGAAGACATAATGTCCTCAGCATCATTTTATTTTCACTTACAAATGATTTATTCATTGCCTTTCTTGTTTCATCAGTTCCATCAGCATATATTTTTTGAAATAGCTGGTTGAGAGCTGCTTCTCCTTCTAACTTTTCATTTGCTTCTTCCTTTCTGATTTCATCAGCAATTTTATCCCAATCCTTTTTCTGAGGTTTTGAAGAAGGATATAATTTGACCACCTCTTCTACATAAAAACAAGAAAACTTGCATAAGTTAAGTAAAGGCAAACAATATTTAAATATTATTTAAAAAAAAAAAAAAAAAAAAAAAACATAATCCATGTTACAAGTAACATACGACTGACTATTCAAAACACACTGTACCTGTTTTTAAGTTAGATTCATTTTTGATGCTACTATCTTCTAATTTTTCCCATTTTATACCTTCTACTTTTTTCAGTCGAATTTCAATCTGTGGGTGGAAAATTTAGATTATATACCTTTTCAATGTTATAAAATGTGATATTATAAATGCAGATTTTCAAAATTATAAAATGCAAATATTTCACATAGCAAATTTAAAATTCTGAAATTTCTTTTCTTTTAATTGAAATTATAATGACTATTAAAATAAGTCATTCCTAATCATAATTCGTACTATTAATTTTTTTTTAAAACGTTAACCATTACAACAAGAGCTAGTTTTGTTATCTATAAACTAGCTCTCGTTAAAGATATTTATAAAAATACTCTCCCTGATTAAAAAATACTGGAAAAAAAAAAAGACAACAGAAACAGAACAGTCTACAGTAATGACAGACACCACAATCAAAGCAATATTTCAACTAAGAAAATCAGATCAATGTAAACAATGTTAAGATTTCAAAATAATGCATCATTAATGCAATCCATTTCAAAATAAGGTTTTCTCATAGGATGCTATTACTACACATGCTATCATGAGAATCTCCCACTTCGAAGATAAATTCATAAAATATCACAAACGATTTTTATCCCAATCCTTTTTCTGAGGTTTTGAAGAAGGATATAATTTGACCACCTCTTCTACATAAAAACAAGAAAACTTGCATAAGTTAAGTAAAGTTTAAAAATTGAATTTTAAAAATGCCTAAAATGGCAGAAATGCTAACAATTTATTAATCATAAATATATAATTATATACTTTATATATGCACACAGTCTGATGATTAGTTTTCTACCCATATCTTCCAGCATAACTGTCTGTTCTTTTTTTTTTTTGAGGGTGGTCCATATCTCAAAATATTACCTAAATTGGTTTTTCTTCTTTCTAATAATCTACTAGCCTAGCCATTAAACAGATTTGCATCTTTATTCTTTTCAGCTAGAAAAGGTACCCTGTAAAATACACTGGATTTTTCTTTCCACTTCATCAAATGATTCTTGATGTTTATGATGTATGCAGCCCCATCTATGTTCTTCTAAACATCAGAAACTTTCTTCTGGGATTTTGCATATTCCTCCTCATGAAAGGTTAGCAGCTCTTCCATATCCAAAGCCTTTACTGTGAAAATAATCTCCTCTACTACATCATTATAATTTGCTGGTAGTGGCATGCTATCAATGAACTAAGCTGTGCAACACCACCAAGGCTTAGTAACAACTACTGCATACGCTATTACAGGTTAGGCTAGTTTCCTAACATTTTATGCATTAACACTTTCAACAGTATTTTTATCTTACATTCAAAAGTATTACAAGAAACTCCTTTTACCTCTTTTGAAATGGCATGTCACTTGAGTATCGTACTTTTTTGTGAAATGGAAGAACTCAAATTGTATCAATTCTATGCCAGATAAGACTAGATCTCTTTCACCTGTTCGCACAGCTGCCATTGACACAATGTTAACTACTAGCTCTACATCATAACATATTTTCTCGTGGTTCTCATATGTGAAATCAATTTAAATTTTAGAATTCCATTTTAATTCCACTTCATGAAGGAATTTGAAAATATATTGATGCAGTAATCCAGAGTTTAAGCTATAGAGAAGGAGGCAGTATGAAAATTAGTCTTCATGCAAGATATCATTACACAGCATATGCAAGCAAATTTTGAAAATGTTCTATGACTATGCGGCCATCAGTTTGCCAGTGTCACAACCTCTGATCTTGTCCGCATATCTAATATGATCTTTTGAGTAATATTTGATGTAATAACATGATAACTTTTGGGTATTAACATGATCTTTTGGGTAATGATAAAAAGTAGATTTACTCCATACATTATCACTAGTACAATTATACAATATTATAATATTCAGTATTCCAAGATGGAATATTATATAATTTCAAAATGATTAATGATATGCAAAATAAGACATAAGCCTTTTTTGTTAGCCTTGTACTCCTCTTTTAGGATATAATATTAATTAATTATAGTACAATCCCTTGATTCCCCTCTTTATCTGACTTTCTTAAATTTATCACAAGCAAATTAACCACATAAATCATTACTATACTCCTAAGCACTATAATGGTCTTCAAATTACATCACTAGTCTTCGTACTCAAAATACAACAAATCTTTTTGTCAAAATCAAATTGTGAGAACCACCTGTCTAAGATGACCACTTCTGAAAGTAACCAATATTTTCAAGAGCACACAAACAAACATTAGTACTGAATATCACCTCTCTAAGATGACCACAAGTAGTGTCTGTCTATGAAACCATAACTTTTCTTCATACTTAGTCCTCTTTGGTAATACCCACAGCATGCCACAGTTTACTGGTTCATGTTAGATGTAAAAAAAGCGAACTCTTCTGTGCATAATAAATTATTATTCTTTAAGCCATTTCAGACTATGCTTTTGAAAACAACCTGATGGCTCCCACAATATTGAATTTTACCTTTTAGAAACTTCCATTATATCAGATAGAAACAGGCAGATATCAAAGCCCATTTATAAAGCAGTCTTGTATAGTTTCTTGAAGTCAGAAATCACCTGATGGTTAATTAGCTAAAGAAGACAATTTGGATAAGAAGGTACATACTGGATCTTTAGATCCAACTTACACTTGCAGTTCTTTAAAATTTGCTTAAACTCCAGTTCCTTCTTCAAGTCTTTTAGACAGTAGGAAATATTATCAACCAATAAGAGTGTTCAACAATTCAATAACCCACCTCCTGTTCAGGTGACAATTTTCTAGATGGTATCAAATTTTAAGACTTCATGTAATATTAGGAAATACGTTCATTTGCTCACTCTCTTGCTTTGTCTCAGACGATAAACAACATTCCTGTATTTATATATTGCCTATAAAAAATTTAACTCTACCTTTAATGGACCTCATATGTGAGATGACATTAGTGTGTGTTTGTAATGTGGGATATTAATGACCGATGTATGCATTTCTTGAACAGGATATTCAGGTACATACATATTAGTGCAACTGCTTTGGAAGAAGTCGTTAAAAATTCTCAGATTGTGCCATATTCTGGCAACCACCTGCATAAAAATTTCTTCAGTTTTAACAAGCAATATTATTATTTTTGTATGAGTTCTTTTCATTGCATTCCAATAGTTTACATACACAAATTGTGATATTTATCTTAAATTCAATAAATATGGGTTCATGGGATTTGTTTGCAATGGAAGAAAATGTAAATTTCTGCAGGAATACAGTATTTTTGTGTAAAACTGCTTTGATTTATTATTATAGCAATGACTATGAAATTTCCACTAGAGCCAAGGGGGGGGGGAACCTAGTGCAATTAGGCCTATTGGTTTGTTTTTGAGATACATATTTATTTAAAACACAAAATAAGTAAGCAATAAATTATTTTTTGAAATTGCAAGTCATGATATGTATATATTTTTTCCCCTGTAAAAAATTACTTTACTGTGCCAAGAAGGTTGTGTTAATATATCAGTATTGCAGTTCACTTTACAACATTTTTGTTATGTGAAGCACCATTATAACAAGTTAATTACACTTATGTTACATATATTTAAATAAATTTTCAATAAGAAATCCTTGTTTAAATGTTTTTTTTTTAATCAACAATCTAAACAATTTCCTTTTTTCAATTTTCTCAATTTACTTCACATATTTTAGTCTCATTCTTTTTTATAATTAATAAATTCATGAAAAAGTTAAATACCATTGGCAACATGATAATACTTTAATGCAAAATTAACTTATCAGCAATTTCCTGAAGAGCAAAGTATTTAAAAAGCATATTCATAATGCAAATGATAAAACCCAAGAGGAATCTCAGGAAATGTGAATGATTCTGAAGCAGCACTGACAGAATAAATAAATGCTAATCACAATACACAAACTTAATGGAACACAGAACTGGGAATTGCCTTCAATGTTTTAAGATTTAAAACAGCCTTACTTACAGAGTATTAAATTTTTCTTAAAAAAATTTACATGTTTCTTCTAATTTCCTGCTATGTACCAAATTTCATTTTCAAAATATTTTCTAAGCTTATCACACTAATCTAAGCTAATCACATAAATTGTCAAACCTTGAAACTGCATGGTATACAAAATTACGTTGATAAGCTACGCCTTGTCTGCAACCAAAATTTTACTATGCATCACTGTAACTAGGAAATGAGAAGCAGAACATCTATTACAGAGATAAATATGATAGAAGTCCAGCTGGTCTCCATTCCCTATATAATACAATTTTAAAGCTGCATTACTTGCTGCTTGTCTGTGCCACTATATCTCAGAGACTAGTGAAGGGGGGGGGAATGTATCTTTCAACGGTTGCCCTTTTACACTTTCGTTGAGCTTACACTCCACCAGTCTGCCCTTGCACGCACTCCTAATAACCCCCTTTTTTTGTTTTTGCTTTATAATTAAGCATCATTTCTCCACACTTAATGCCACATACATTTCAACAATAAAATCACAAAATTTTTAAAAGCTACATAGTAACATACGTTTAGAATTCCAAGTGCAGTGTTAAGTGTTGGCATACATTTAAATATTTTTTTCATTCTTTTCTCAGTTTTCATAGTAAGATGGCTTAAAAAAATTTTTTTTGGTCTTTTTATTAGTATATATTATTGCATTTTTATGTGTTGACTTTATTTATTAAATACCACGTTCTTCACACTTATGTGGCATAAAATTCAATTCAGTAGCAAAATCACAAAACATTAGCACATCTTTAGAATTCCTGAGTGTTAAAGGTTGCCATACATATTTTTATACTTGCTACATTATGTCTTTAAAAAGCAGCCACCTAAATAATTATTATAAAAAAGAAAAAGCATATAATGATTTTAAGTCCAGCTAGTTTAATATCACAAGAATACTTTAATACATCTCATGAGTTCAATGCATGTTTATTTAAATCAAACAAATTAAAAAGTTACAAAAATATTCTATCTTAAGAACTGTGTTTATTGCTCTTAAATTGCTTAGATTATTACTCAATAACTGTCTAGAATAAATTTGAAAGTATCTTA